AAAGGAAATGCTGGCAAACGTAGATACTAAATGTGGTTTAATAAAGTAAAAACGGTTATATGAAAAAAAGTAACAGAAAAAGATTTAAACCTTTCCGTTCGTATATATTTTTTATCAAACAGACGAGCTTCAAAGTGAACATTGTGTCGTCGTATGTAGTTGAAATACCTACCATACAACATCTCAACAAGACGCGCTGCCAACTTATTTAGGCTTTGAATATTCGTAAATCCACAGACGGATCAATGATCATTGAGTTGCTAATCAACTCAGTGAGTTAAATTCATTCAAGATATTGCGTACAAGGTACAACTAATACATGTCTTTCATTTTAATGACTATATTTATATCGAAAACGTGTTTCCGCTAAATTCCTTAAATCGCGGTCTAGAGTAAGTATATAGATATATTTCTATATATGTTTGACAAAATAGATATACTTTATATCAATAAAATCCTTAGCAAACAATTTACCTTCAGTTTTATTTAAAATTTTAATATGATTTCATTAGCTTTTGAGCAATTAAAAATCCTTAAGATTTGTCCTTATTAAAACTTTATCAAAGCAATCTATTACACGATCTCATAACTTTGAGATCTGAGATGGGAATCTAATTGGCCATTATAAAAAATATTCAGCAATTGCTTCAATAATTAAAATAATAATTTGCTTTAAGATGAAGGAAATTTATAACATTATATGTAAGTGACAACTGCCTCGTTGGTCTAATAGTTAGGGCACTGCAAGGCAGAGGTCCCGGAATCAAATGATGGGTAAGCCGAATGTTATTTCGGTATTTCGAATATTTCTATGAAATTTCTAGAGCCAGCCTGGAGTATAGAATTAAGATAAAATAAATACAAAAGTAAAAGATAAATTGTCTAAATGTTGGGAGCTACAAGAATGATTTTTACTATATCAAAGATATTTTTGACATACTAAAATTATAGATCTATTATGCCACATACAGAGCATTTTAAATTAATTTTCAATTTGCTACATAGTTTTTAAAATGACACATTTTACCTACCTACCATTTAGCTAAAATATATTTCAAATATATTTGTTTGTAGGTTATCGTAAACTACTAATGTCAAACGTTTGTTTGCGTGACTCGGATAGTGTTCGAGATTACGAACAGCACTTGTAGCGTTTTCAGCGAAGGTAAGCTGTGATAAATTCAGCGGGCGATAACTCACCGGCATTAAGTCGAAGCGAGTGCGGTAGTGTGGGATTTATGCACTAACTTGAAAGTGTTCTCATATTAAGGGGTTTAGTGTGAATTTTCCAGCGATATAAGTGATGGAGGAGCCGCTGGCAACTCTGATTTCATACGCGGCTCGGATTGCTTATAAACAAACCGTGCGCTATATTTGATAGTAGGTTGAAAGCCGTTTGTTAACCGGGGACTCGTTCCATTGAAAGGGAATAACGACCAGCGCATAATGTCATACAAAATGTTCTATTAAAATAAATTATAATTCAGTATTCATTTCCTTTTCCGCTTTGTTGCGAAAACTGCAGTTGAAAAGCTTCGGCAGTTAAAGTTTGCAGCACTTGTTTCGTTCCTGCCATAATGGTCTACAGTTAAACGTTTTATCTGCAAAGTGAAACTCGACAATGCTATTGAGACGGCAGATAGTTTTAAAGTTAATTGAAAATTTTTGTGTTTGCTTCAAAAGCTTGCTTAATGAACATCTCTCGTTTAAATTAAACACTTTCGACGGTCTTAATTCCGAAATATATTTACTTTAGCCCGTTTGGTACGCTTATCAGCGGCCGTTATCACGGGGAGACTGAAGATGGAAGCTGTCCCTAATGTCAAAGTCGAATCTGCAACGCTAACGCCATCTGTTACTTCGTTATTAGTATTCTGATAAAGTAGTTGCGTACTTACAGATGAAGTAGAATATTTCATTGCACGCTCGCAAAAAATTAAAAAATGTAAAGCACTTTATATTTATGGCATTATTAATGTTTTATACATAATGTATGAGATCCGATGTCATCTGGCGAAGTGCAGTGTGTTACTATAAGATATTCAGCTAGGGAAAATATTTTATGAACTCGGGCAAGACCGAGTCCTTACACTAATATAAAAATATCTTTTTGACATTAGGAACACCCTCCATGTTCAGTCCCCCGCGACAACGACTGCTGCAAGGCTTATGATCCTACCGGGTGGTATATCGATCGTAGTAAAAACAAAAATTAGTCTTTTGTACAATGTTAAAAACGTTATATTTAGATTAGCTATGTCATCCAATTTATTGCAGTTTAGAATGTTTTTTGTTGTTTAAGATTATGTTTTGTTTTTGATCACATGTCTTTATTATTTCATTAATATATCTTGATTTATAAATACATACTTAATTCCAAACAGATATCCCTTTTAATAACGACGAATATGCAAAGTTTTTATAATTGAAAGAAAATGAACCTTAAAAATGATTATCCGAAGAGAACTCGAAGTTTTAACTATGTCCGAAGGATGATTGTTATAAAATAAGTTTTTATGGAGTTCCTAAGTCGTAAAGGTGTAAGGTTTTTTACGATTCCAGGACGACGAGAGGTTTTCTTTGCTGTAAGGTCAGCAAATAAACGTCCCTCGTAAATACGTACAGATAACGTTAAGAGAATACAAAAAGTCAATAAGCTAATATAAAAATAATAAATCTTAATGGTTAAACAGCGAGGCAATACGGTGTATATTTACTATTTATCTATACTAATATTATAAAGAGGAAAGAATTGTATTTTTGTATGTAATGGATAAACTCAAAAAGTACTAGACCGATTTGAATAATTCTTTTTTCATTAGAAAGCTACATTATCACTGAGGCATATTACAACATAGGCTAATATTTAGTACTTGATTATATAGAGAAATTCTAACTAAAACCAACGGAATGCGTAAAAAAATAAGCCGTAAAATGTATTTCTTCCATACGCTGCGAAAAGTATTAATGATAGGACAAAAAAATGTTTGACAATATTATAGAATATATCAATATCTACAACAAAAATCGCGAGAGCATATGTCTAACTATTGTAGTTACGTCGTAATAACTACTTTTTTACGTTTAATGAATTAATATAAATGCCGATCAAAATCAGACCGTGTTATTAATACCATTTATACATTTTTGTCCAAATAAATAATTTAATATTCAAGGCTGTCTCAATATCTGATGATTACTTTTAAATTATTGAAATCGGACATGCCATTCAAATGATATCATGAAATTAAAATAAAAATACATGACGGCGGCGGCGGCCGCCACGGTGTAATGCATCGAGTAACTAATTCTACGATAGAGGGGCAGTGGGCTCCTTACGCAATGGACGCGACCGACATTGAATATTTCGTTTTTTTTAAATAGTTTTATGGTTCACTTAAAAACTTATTTTCAGAGCTACTTAGTTTTAGTATTAGGAATCACACTATGCATAATATTTGTCAAAGTTCTTTTCGGAATTATCTCTTTGAACTTGAATATTTTCTTAGTATGTTTGTATTATTATTAGTTTATTCTTAATTTCTCTGATTTAAAGTAAATACCTAAGAATAATTCCCAAGCGATATTAGCACAAGTTCGTCGTATTGGAGAGTCTTCTTCTAAAACGATCGTCCCAATCGCGAGCCAGAGAAGTTTCGATCGTTCAGTTTGTCTTGCAGAACGAAATGCAAGATCGTCGCAGCTATACGAACGACGGTCAAGCGCCGAGCGCTCGCAGCGACTTGAAGGAAATAGAACTAGGAATTCGCGAACGCGTGCAGAACACTGAACGCTCGCAGCGGCTTCTGACACAGCGGGATAGACAACGGTCGTTAACAGATAGGACGCGCAATACTTTTTTTTCTACTTTAGTGATTCATGGTCGTTTTAATTAGCATGCTTATAATTTAAATATCTGTACTATTTAGGTCTACCCGTGCGAAGCCGGGACGAGCTGCTAGTTATTGAATAAATAAAATCTACTAATCTCATCTTATTTTGACATTGAAAACAAAAATATTGTAGGCCGCAGTAAGCGTAACATGTAACTTACAATTAAATTTCTATCGGTTGGTCTGTAGATACATTTTATTTTCAATATCAAATTTGAGTTTTATTCTGTAGAAACTTAAAGAAACTACGACATCAGCACTGTCTGTCATTTACGGCGTCTATAGGCCTTAAGCTATCGGTAGAAAGTATTACAAGATTCCTTACTTCCATTTTTATAATTAGCATCTTTTCCACAGCGATTGAAAATATTCCTGTCATGCCGGTGATTGAATTTTCCCCTTTTTTCCCGGGAGAAAGTGGGGTTAGGGGTAAGCGGGGAGGTTCGGCGAGAAATAATTACGGGGTGCTCTGATAACGCTGTGTAATTAAGGCTTCTGTTTTCTTACATTGTTTTTGTATTAACGGTAATATTGGAAAGTAATTGTTTTTATATGAAGAGCAATAAATTTTAGCTATCGAGATCTATTATAGGAAGTAGTTAACGTAACGTAACGTAACGAATTATCTAAGTAATAGCAAAATACAGGAGCGTAGAGATAACAAAAGACATTTGCATGTTTGTTATTCAAGTATGGTAAAATGGTAGGTTAGACGAATCGTAGGAATATAACTCAAACAGAATTCCGTTGTTATTTTTTACAATATAAATATTTAGATATTGAAAAAATCGTACACTGGCGAAAACGTAAAATTTATGCAAAAACGAACGCCGTTTTTGTGCTAACACCCGCCTGAACGTCAATCAATCTGTTATGATTTTTAAAGCTTTTTGTATTCTAAAAGTGCCATCTCGTCCCGTGACCACGGCTGCTACGAAATATCTGAAACGCCGGGCCGTTGTTAAATTAAATTAAAAATATGTTAACGAATATATTTCGCGTTGTAAACTGTTAAAAGTGTTTTATCAAAATGTTAAGTCTAATACTTGATATATGAGTAATTTTATATCAAACATATATATTTTTTAAATTGTTTTGGAGACTTACCCTTGAGCGTGGTCGGCTAACACCCTGGTAATCTGGTCCATAGCGACCCTGTAACAAATAAATAAAATAACGTTAAATTTGCCGTCAGACGAGATACTAACCACATAAGGGCCCACTTGTAAATATACACCATTGTTCCTCTAGGTGGCTCGTGTACTAAATCTATCAAGCTATAACTAATTATATATTTATTTAATTATATATCATAATACTTATATCATAACCAGTACTTTAAACCGTGTTATATCTCTCTCGTAAGTAATAATTAAAATGCGGTTTGGAGTCTAACATAATATTAGTTCAACAGAAGCTGTGACCTTTGAATTTCCAACTATAGGACTTAATATTTCACATCAAAGCAATCTCCGCTTTTGTTCAGTTGCGGTGATCGCAAAATTATTGAAATCCACAAGCCAAATTAACTTTCCCTTCCAAACTTCCAACATAAACTATTTGATGTCGGATTATCCGAGAAAACATTGTAACGAGCTGGGGTGAAGTCGAAAACAACGGGACAAAGTTGCATATTATAGTTCTAATTTAAACCTGCTTCTAGTATTTAAAATATCATGACAGGGACGGTAACATGAATGAATATTTTCCTTAATTATTATTTTATAATTTCCTATAGAGCTTAAATTGGTATGAAAATACATTTTGACACGTACCAATCAAACCCCTTCACGTTTTTCAACTAAACGGTAAATTTTACAGCAAAAATAATTCAGATTAAAATTGTACATCCTCCGATTCTCTACAAAAAATGTATCCACACTCTTTTCATAAGTTACCAATTTTTAGCTCTGTAGGAATCATTGTCACCTAACCTATATTTTAAGACTACTTTGAGTGGAGTAAAAGAAGGAAAGACGAGAATAAGTTTCCGTCGGTGGAAAGTCAACTCCAGCCAAATAACACCAAAACACGATGAAATCTAAAAAAAAACGAAATGAATAATGAATTTCATTTATGGTTTGTGGATTTTCCAGACGAAGTGTAACATTAAGGGAATCGAACTGACAAAATATTTTATAACATGCCTAAGATTTCCCAGACATGTTATGAAATTTTGTCGCCCGCTCTTGGGTGGAGAGAGGCGAAATATATTTCCTAAGGACTAATTTCCTCAACAACACTCCTGCCGTGCTCCCGCCGTTTCCAACGACCTTCCACTTTTTCCTACAATTTCCACTCTAATATTGCGAATGTTGGTTTTGTTCACGCCTTTTTGCTTCTCTATTGTTGAAGAAACTATCACAACGGAAGGACAGAGAAGTGAAGAAAAGGTATACACAAGTGAGATTTAAAGTTGTTAATTTCGTACAAGAATCAAAAAAAATAAAAAAAATAAAATAATAATATAAATGTACATGACTATACAGGTCTGTATGTGTATATTAATACAGGTCGAAATATTTTTTTTCTACGTGGTTATTTTTGCTAATCGAAATAAAACACCTTTGTTTAAAACACGAAATGTATTAGTTACCTTATTTACAATATATTTTATCTACGGCCCGATGCGACGTTTCAGATGCTTTGCCGTGGACGCGGGGGGGACAGAAATAAAAAATATTAATTATTATGCAACCGTGAATATTTTAGTATAAATGTATTAGTTACCTTATTTACAATATATTATTATTATTTACAATATATTTTATCTACGGCCCGATGCGGCGTTTCAGATGTTTTGCCGTGGACGCGGGGGGACAGAAATAAAAAAATAAGATTTTTTATGCAACTGTGAATATTTTAGTATAATTGTATTATTTAGTTACCTTATTTACAATATATTTTATCTACGGCCCGATGCGACGTTTCAGATGCTTTGCCATGGACGCGGGGGGGACAGAAATAAAATAAATATGAATTTTTATTCAACTGTGAATATTTTAGTATAATTAAGATTGTTACTAGATTGAAATGTTTGAAAACATTAATATTTTTCACATGTTATTGCACATGAAGGCACTATATAATTTAAAAATCGAAAATAAATTGAAAAAATTTTCGACTCGGGCAGGACTTGAACCGGCATCGTCAGCTTTCCGTGCTGTTGCTCTACCAATTGAGCTACCGAGTCCTACACCTCATCGTCGAATTTTTTCAACTTATTGATACATGCACCTCTCGCGCAATGTAATTTCTACCTTAACACTTGCGTATTAAGGCTCAATGTCTTATGCTTTGCAGCTTAAGAAATCATTGAAGATGAAATTACAAAGTTATAACGTTTGAAAACATTAATATTTTTCACATGTTATTGCACATGAAGGCACTATATAATTTAAAAATCGAAAATAAATTGAAAAAAATTTTCGACTCGGGCAGGACTTGAACCGGCATCGTCAGCTTTCCGTGCTGTTGCTCTACCAATTGAGCTACCGAGTCCTACACCTCATCGTCGAATTTTTTCAACTTATTGATACATGCACCTCTCGCGCAATGTAATTTCTACCTTAACACTTGCGTATTAAAAAAAAAAAAATTTTTTCAATTTATTTTCGATTTTTAAATTATATAGTGCCTTCATGTGCAATAACATGTGAAAAATATTAATGTTTTCAAACGTTATAACTTTGTAATTTCATCTTCAATGATTTCTTAAGCTGCAAAGCATAAGACATTGAGCCTTAATACGCAAGTGTTAAGGTAGAAATTACATTGCGCGAGAGGTGCATGTATCAATAAGTTGAAAAAATTCGACGATGAGGTGTAGGACTCGGTAGCTCAATTGGTAGAGCAACAGCACGGAAAGCTGACGATGCCGGTTCAAGTCCTGCCCGAGTCGAAAATTTTTTCAATTTATTTTCGATTTTTAAATTATATAGATTGAAATGATCAGTATTTTCGTAGATTTTTTGTTTGACTCTTTATTTATTAAAATTAAAAAAAATACATGTCAGTTATTTCACGTATGGCACCATTATAAACATAACATAAGTTTAAATATGAATGTATTGAGGTTGAAATTACAGTACGCAAAAGGTGCATTAAATTAGACGATGACCTGTAGGGCACGTAGCTTACAGACCACAACCGTTCAAGTCCCACTCGATTCCATTTTTTTAATCTGAATAAAATTGATATTTGTGCATTGTTTGTTAATTATATACTTAATTAAATTTATTAAACTAAAGAATAGCTTGTAAGATCATTTTTCATTTAAGCAATTCGTTCATAATTATAAACGAACTGAATAGTAATTACTATAATTAGACGAATTAAAGAAGTTTTAATTTTAATTGATCTTTTACAATTCACAATTGTTTGGACATTTCTTTTTAAACTTTGCCCTGTATTACAATTTAACAATTTATAATATTTATCAAAGTTCGTAACAAAATTTTTGTAAGTTAACCTTGATTAAAAAACTAAATGGCTTACGATATTTTGACGTGAATATCCATACAAATAAATCTCGTGTATTTATATTTTTCATATCATCATTATCATTAGTAAAAAATATTACGCAAAACATAACGATAATTGGCTATCGTTTAAATCACGCTATTCAAGCCTAAGTAGCTATTACGTCAGAAATCTATGCTAAGCACTTTCCATTACATTTTCAAATACAGAATTACAATTACAGGGTTACGAATGATGTTCAAAGAGAAAAATATATTTGCTTTGAATGGGGATCTGATATCCTGAGCCAGCTACTTTTTCACATCAAACGGCGTTGGATTTTCATAAAATATCCCCTTTGTCTTTGTCTCGAATGCTCCGAGCAATTTCAGACACCTAATATTTGATATTTAGTCGCTGACTATGCTTTTATTAAAAGGACGATTAAATGTATTCGAATGTTCTTCAATAAAAAAGTTGTGTTTCATTTAAATATTGCTCGAAACTTTTTACTATTCTTGCAAAAGTGCGTTACGATATAGAACTCGAAAATGCAATTTATTTCCAAGAAATCACTTTTTAAATATCTGTTACCAATAGATTAAATAAAAAGAATGTATATTTTTAATTTATTGAGTACAACTAACGGGCCTTGGGTTCGATTCTCACTAATTTACTACTACTTTTTATATTTATTAATAAGTGAAGTTGAAACATCGAATTACCGAATTTGTTTTAACAGGTAGGAAGACATTAAATGTAAATGTGAGTTAATTTACAACAGGACATCTTAACGCGAAGTGTATGTCTTCTAACAAGTGAATTCCCCAGCATGTCGTGTTTGACCAATGACAGACTGACACTGTCGTCGTGGCAGTTCCTTACTCGTTTATCCTTACCTATGTTAAGGATTGAAAAAGGATAATTGTCACTTCTTAAAAGTCAACAATGTCATCGTTGGTGATCGTCCAAATTGGCCCCAAAAGAACTGCGCCTGAACGTAAATATTGATGTACAAATATGAAATAATATTTTGATCAAATAAAAGCAGTTTCTCAGCGGAATATGCGACGTTATCCACGAATTACTATTCCCTCACTATACATAATGCAGGGTCGTCTGTCCGTATTATCATAATACTGACATTCTTATGATTTAGCCCCGAGCCGACCTCGTGTGGAATGTATGACCGGCGGTCCTTATCAAGAATTCTACCTAAAGATTACAGATTATAATTTTGCCAAAATCTTCAGGCCAACATGCTCAAAGATTTTCTCATGTAGGGTGACTATATTTTTCACAGGTTAAAATTATACTATACAACTAGTTTTCATCAAACATAGACCCTACCCGATTGAAAATTTTTTTTTTTCGCCGCCTTTCGCACCCAGAACTTCTTACGTTGCCAGAACGCTAAACAAAATTACACTCTATAGAATTAATAAAGTATCCCAAAGACTACTTCAGGTAGTCTAAATAAATTTGTGTTGAAATGTTGTAAATCCTGAGATTTTAAAGGTAACCGTAGTAAATTTGAGAAATAATTATTCTAATGAATGCCGAACGTTTTCGTTATTAATGCTAAAAGAAAAATTAAATATTTCAAAGTTAATTTTTCTGTCAGACGAGCTGTATCTTCTTACCTATAACATTTATCTCCTGAACGTTAAACGTGCAAAATATCCGCTCAAAGCCAATTTAACTTAGTTAGAAACTTATTTAACTCTAAAAAGATCACGATAAGGCCTCCTTGCTTCTGTGGTTTGGCGGATGTTGAATGTATTCAGAAAGATTTAAAACGCCTTATATATCTTTAGCGTAGGTTTTTAGTAAATTTCGGCTTACAATTAAGAGACCGACCGAATATCATTTATTTATTTATATTAAAAAAAAATGCAGTCTATTTTTATTAAAAAGATAAAGAGCCAATCACAAGTTTCCACATTTAGATTAAGAAAAAGTTCTTGCAATGTGTCTATAGTTACGTGAGTACATATTTAAATAAAACACTTGAACGGTTTAAATCGCGATATATTTTAGTTAAACTTGTTTGAAAGTTGTTTTTAACTAGTCGTTTCGGATGCTTTGCAGCAGGGACTAAAGATGGAGGATGTCTCTGACGTCAAAGTAAAAAACTGCTACGCTAGCGCCATCTGTTCCGTCAAATGGCAGTTTCACCAAATGCCAACTTCTATAAAATCTGATTTATATTGAGTACAATTTATTGTGGAAGTCGATCCCAAACAACAGCTTGAATTCAATTTTATACATACATAAAATTTTCAGTGCGAAACGACTGTTTGAGGCGGAATAAAATAGAGTCACAAAGCAGCTGTTTAAAAGCGCATCAGTTAGCTTCGATTACCGTAAAAGTGGTAGGAATTCTTTACACGAATGTTTCTATAGATTGAAAAAAAAACAGCAACTTTATAAGCATAATTTCGTTTTTAATGTTCATTTTATGTTTTGTTAATTGTTTTATTGTAATAATTTTGTACTAGTTCTACTTCTAATGTCAAGCGTGGGGCATCACTGAAAATCAGCGTTGTACCTACTTCCAAGTATAACTAAAGTCGAGTGGTGTTTCTCTGCTGTATTTTGGTGTGTTATTCTTTGTCTTTACTACCTATAAATAATTATGAATGTAGAAATCACATCCTTGTTAACCGCCTATAACGTATTACAATAACGAACCCCGACTATTGTGAGCGAACATGTCCCCGTTGTCATCGAATAATATGCCTATATTATACTTAGGTTGTAATCAAGCCACTTGAAGTTTTGATTACTTCCAAATTCTTGTTGTTTGAGCGCTTGTTAACAATCTTCCGATCGAGAACAAACAGAGGGGAGCTATAATAATATTTCAAATTAAATTCCTAAGTTATAAATACGAGGTTTAAAATCGTAGAGATGGTAGAGAACGTTGCCGTGTTATAGTGTAAACTATTTTAAAGTCTTAGAAAAAGACACATATTTAAAACTAGCTGTGACCGCGACTTTGTCCGCGAAGAAAAATAACGTAGATCTATAGATCTAGTTCTTAAAAAAAAGCAATCTATATATTATATTTATAATAGGGCGTGGCGTGGCGTGGATCCGATTCCTGATCACCTGAGAAATCTGGATATTAAATGGATAAAAGAATAAAAAGTGGTAAATTTACATTACGAAATGAACAAACAAACAAACTTCTGCTTTATAAAAATAGTAATTTATTTATTACTACCCCCCACTATCACACAAAGCGGCAATTTAAAAACAATACAACAACATCTATAACAAAAAGCAACGGAGCACCTCGCGTGACGTCACGGCCCTTAATTCCGACATTGAGTAATACAAAACAAGAAGTACTGAGACGGAAAGTTTTCCTAATAGAAAAACTCCGGTGTAGCTCAGCGCGGGACGACATTAATCACAAGTAGCGTCAGCAAGAAATGTCACGAGAAAATTTCTTTTACACTGAACCATTTGATTCATCTCCCCTGTTATGACGAGGTGTTTCGATGTCCTCACGTTTCCCCGGCATTGAGGCAGGTCTCGTTATCAACTCAATTTCATTACGAAATTGGAAAAACGCGATAAAGGTTAGCTTATATGGCGTTGTAGAAAAAGGGTATAACGAAAAATACAAGGCAGTAATTACACCAAATAATACAATTTTAAGTTTTTTAATAAATCTCTATTTAAATATATCACTCTTAACGATTTAATAGGCGAAAATAATAGTTAACTTATTAACAATTTATTTTAACTGTAGCCCGACGTTTCGGTTGCTTTGCAGCAGTGGTCACAAATTAAAATGAATTAAGTTAGCGAATATGTTATATGTTTTGCGAATTAAATCGTTAAAAATGATTTATTTAAATGTATTCCCGTTAACTGCAGACAATACTTAAAAGATAAAAAATAATCAACTACCTTCGTGATTGTTTGAGTCCCCGGAAGACAAAATAACCCAGGTCTCTCTCAAAGCACCGTAGCGCTAGGTATTAAGGTAGAGCTTCTGGTCGGCTATTGTCTCCGAGGAGCTTATAGTTAGATTTACCATACTCCTAACGTCACTCTTGCCTGACGTGGGTGTGCATTCATACCATCAGTAAAAGAAAGGAAGACAAAGTAACGACTAGACTAAAGTCATAAAATTCACAATCGTATATCTGTTATCTGCATAATACTAACTAACATAAGCATTCAGTTTTCAATTATGTAGTAATCATTGATAGACTAACCTTCGGCGTGTTGACCTCCCGGGTGGAGATGCCCATTTTCTCGTGGTGTCGCAGCTGCACGGGATAAATTATTTGGTAGTAATGCGCGCCGATATTTCTCACCAACTCCTGATTTTGAGTGTATTCCCGCAGGAGACGCTCCACTTCTTCTGAAACAAGGATCGCTTTTGGATTTCTGATGCGGAATACGCCTTAAACATAAATTACCATACTGTCTATAGTTTACGCAAGTAGTACACATTTAAATAAAACACTTTAACGGTTTAAAACGCGATATATTAGTTAAACTTACTTGAAAATGATTTTTAACTTTGACCCGACGTGTCGGATGCTTTGCAGCAGGCGTGGTCTCGGAGAGATTTAAATAAATTATGATGTTAACGGTTTAAAACGCGATATATATTACTTAAACTTATTTGGAGGTTATTTAATTTACAAAAAAGTTAACATATATCGGGTTTTAAACCAGTAAAGTATTTAAATGTGGACTTCTCGCGTAAACTGGATATTAAATGTGTAAAAAATATAAAAAGCGGTAAATTTACATTTCTGTTTCAGTGTAGATTTTATTACGTATCAGATATTTCATGTTCCTCTGTCATAAAAAAAATTGGTACATAAAGTTAATACTAATATCTATTAATTAAAAAGCCATTTTCATATTTCCATACTGTTTGATGATTAACGTTTGCCATACATGAATACTGTAAAATGTAAGACGTTAGACGTCGAGTCGTCTAAAATTACGTTAACACAAAGTGTTTTACGTATTGTGCCTGAAGCGATTTGTAAGTGCCTATTAAATTCACTGCTTTCCAAATACTAGACTGATAGATGATGTCACTATATCAACCATGCTATACATATAAGTCGCAAATACTTAACGTTTCCGCATATCCTGTAAGTTATTAGCCATGAAATTATGGGTCGATTTCGTGCATGTAATAGATGGTAGCGCAGCGACATATATTTATTTATACATACGTTTTTAAATAAAACACTTTAACGGTTTAAAACGCATTATATTAGTTAAACTTATTTGAAAATGTCTCAGCAGCCGAAACTTCGGGCCGAAGTTAAAAATCATTTTCAAATAAGTTTAACTAATATATCGCGTTTTAAACCGTTAAAGTGTTTTATTTAAATGTGTACTACTCGTGTAAACTATAGACAGTATATACATAGGATTTTTTAGACAAATGTTTGTGATCAATTAACATCTATTTAGACGGTGATGTTGATAAAATATATAGCGTAAGCTTTTTGTAGCGTAAGAAGTGCTTATTTATGTTTACCACTCGCATAAACTACAGACAATACTTGAATATTGTTTTAGAGGAATATAACGAGCCCCAAAACTGGTAATTTAAAGACTAATAATTATAAAATCATGTAATTAATTACTTTTCCATGTAATGAAGAATTAATCAGATAAGTACATATATGTACGTTTATTGTTTCTAGGAGATAAGATTTTTAATCTCTTATTGAACGGATTCCATACAAAATTGCACTTGCGTTCGCCTCGTAATAAACGTCTGACGGCGTCTTAACGATGCCCTTAAACTGAACAATAAGGCTCATAGTGACGCCTTATGACGTCCTGTCAGGTGATTCTACCTTCAGGTTTATCTCCTGATAATAACGTTCTGTAAAATTTAAGCATCGCTCTTCCTACAGCTTTTTACTATCGTACGAAATTGTTGAAAAGTTTCAAATAAATTTAAGAGGTGAAAAGTTTATTAGAATAAATGAAAAGTGTCTTTGATAAAAGCTTCTCAATAAAATCTTCAATTATTTGAGGTAAGTAGCCACCGCCTGGAGATTAAACTTATTAATTTACTTAGCTCAAAGCTTGGGTATTTGAGCTATCCGACTGTGGTAATTGAAAACTTTTTAAGAACATCAAATACAATGAATACTTCCCAAAGATACAATTCACATAAATCCGAGACAGAAAACACTCGCGAAAGGCCATTTAAAATTCTTTTTGGATTCGTATTACTACGAAAACTAAAAACTATTTTAACATTTTAAAAAGGCATTTGTCAAATCGATCAGTTTCAAATCGACCTTTCGAATTGAATAAAAGCAGCGCTAGCGAAATATTTGAAATATGACAATGGGTTATTGAAAAATAGGCTCAGTTCAGATAGTAGTAATGAGAGCATGAGATCGTTCGATAAGGGTTGTCGAAGGCTGAAAATATTATGTGTGTATTATATATAATGCTGGTTTAACTCCTAGATAAAAGCAAAAAGATAAGAATAATACAATAAGATAATTAGATAAATACTTATGTTATGCGGCTTATAAATAAGATATTGAAGCAATGATTAAAATGTGCAATAATACGTGTCGTCTTAGTTGGGAAGGTTGTAATAATGATGGAATTCTTAAACTGCGTGTAATGGTCTCACAAAATTTTTACTATTTCTTAAATTATATAATACTTTCCACTTTCTATGATATTGAAATTTAATGCGTTTTTTTGTGTAATATTGCAATGTTGACAGTTAAAAGAAGGGTTATGAATTTGTTATCATGCATTGCTTTGTATTATGATACGTCGTAGTCATAAGAGTCATATAGTTAGTAAAATACACAAAATAAACGATGTCGGTGGCAGCCCTGAGCGAAACCGTCAGGGAACCATTCACGCTGGAGTCCGCAATTGGGGCGCGCTAGCTTCGTGCTACAAATTCAGTTCGAACAATGACACTGCATTTGCATCGGAAATTATTATCATATTTGTTAGAGAGTCACGTAGGCCGATAATTAAACATAATGCATCGATATTATTTGCATATCGATATATAAAGTCCCGTTCCCCGTATGAAGAATCCGAGTTAAATCATCACACAATTCAACACACAAATTTTTAATCATATTTGCAGGTAATTAGATTAATGATGAAGAAGAGCTGGGAAGCCTTGCACATGTGTTTTTTACTTTAAAATATTTATATTAGAATGTTATGATCAATCTGGTTTCAGGTACTACATTTTTTAATAATAAAAATAATTTATATTTATTAATATTTATATGACTATCACTATGTATACAAAAGTCTAAGAGGCTTTCAAGGTTCTGAAATAGCTAAGATAAAAACCAATAATACAGCTAGGTACACTAAATGATTCAGGACAGGACAAACACTCGGAGAATGATTTAACGAGTGGTTGGCGAGACAATTGGATCGTCCACTCGACGTCTATACGAATCCCTAATGCCTGTTGGATTTGGCCTTAACGACGTAAATATCTCTAAACAGATGTTTGTGCTACAATCGTTAGAGGGTTTCTTGATTTTAGACTGATAAATCACTTCGCTCTGTTGACACAGATCGAGACGTGGGGCGGAGTTTTTCGAGCGAACGTTACATAAATATTTAATAAACCGTAGTCATAATTAATCGAGATCTAGTTTAATGTTAAATCGAAATCAATCAAGTGTCTATATCTTGAGAGGTCTGTGTAATCAAATATTAATTCTACGAAAGGATCTATATCGACTACCTAAATCACATTATAATTAATTGATTTCCGAGCGATCACTACTCGCAGATTCGTTACCGATTCTACTATTTCCGTTGGGTCTACTGGGTATTATCTATTAATGAGTAACTTTAAATTCAGGATAATCTGTAGTTTACGCGAAGAGTACACGTTTTAATTATAACACTTGTAACGGTTTAGGACGCGAAATATAGTTTACTTATTTTAACTGCCGCCCAACGATTTGGGCGCTTTTCAGCAGCCGTGTTAGCAGGGGGACTAAGGATCGAGGATGGCTCTAATATCAAAGTCAAGTTTGCTACGTTAGTGCCATCTTTAGTGTTTTATTTAAACTTTAAATTCATACAGACTATATTACACCTGGGCTAGATTATTTTATGATCTATGGTTATTTTATTGTTCTGTTTGTATTGTACTGTTCTAAGTAAAGCTCAGAGCAGACACAGTAGTTTTGCGAATCGACTTGATTGAGCCACAATAATTAATTTCCCTACCGATGTAATATTGCCAATATTGGCCGGAATTCAAAACCACGTCCTCCTAACTTCCCAAGTTCTATACAGCTTAGTCATGAAGTCAAGAAGCCGACCTACACATCCCTACATATTACTTAAGTTATTAGCCAATAATGCGTAACTTTCGGTTCCGCTTATTTTTCGACGACAACAAGTAATTTGACTTTTGATGTCTTTCACGTAACATATAAATTGCATAACATATATTTCGCTGCAGTTTTTAATCTACACGAATATTATGCTAACTCCGGTATGTTAAAACGGTGAATTTCGTCACGCCCCAGTTTCATGGAGAGAGCTATCGTAGCTTTCATTAAACAAGCCTAGAACAAAACTAATTTATTAAATGTGACTCGTTTTCATTTATTTATGCTCTAGCGTAGTTTAAAATTGGAATAAGCAGATTTTTGTGTAGCTAACGTAGAAAGGAATGGGGTGAATTGCTATACATGATTGAAACACAATTATATATCTGAAATGGTGACGTGAAAGGGATTTACAACGATGTTTATACCATTTAGATAATTGAAAATCTATATAGGTTAAAAAAAAGTTAATGACACGGGCGCAACTGCTGCTGCTGTTATAACCACCTGAGCTATTGTGTGAACAGTAGTCAGAGTAGCAGCACGGCCTACTGTGGTTAGATTTTAGTAGTACCATATAACCAAATATAGATAGTAAACAGAAAGCTGACTGTTGTTGTATGTAATAAATATTATATTAAAAAAATGTTCAAGAGATTTTATTCCCACAAAAAATTTCGTGTGAGGTAAAAAACAATTGTACTAAAAATTTCTTTTTAATTATTTATAACTATCTAACTTCGAATTATTTTGAAATTTACAATGCATATATGTAAGCAAAGCTATATCTTTGCAACTATATAATAAACAAACAATTCAGGTGGTTTAATTAATTCAAACAGCGTTAAAGCGACGAAATACGCTGCTTGCTTCAGCGACCACTTAACATAAAACCGTTTGACAATAGCAAACATCCCAGCTATATTCTAATTATATGAAAACTACGCGGTTTTCTTTGTCTACAGCTGAAATGTACGTCAGTGATATTTTTGAATGGCCAGCACGATTAATGAATGCGGAATCTTTTTTCCTTTTTTTATATCTGTGAAACTATTTAAGGATCTGTACTCTATTTTTTTCTTTCTATTATTATGATATGCTACTGTGATATTTTTGTTTGTGTCCTGTATTCTTATAATAAAAAGAAAAGAAATATATTCCAGCATACACTTCTATACTATATAATATATACTGTGATAAATTTGACACTTAAAGTTTTATCTTAGTCTGGCAAACAAATAACTGTAAAATCGGCAGTGTTATAATAGTGAATCTAACATAATATTATAAAAAACAAGAGATGTGTGTTATTTTTTCAGTACAGACATAATTATGTACATGTATTTCTTCGATATCGATTTTAGAGTTTAATAAAACTGATACAATCTCATTTAAAGTGAAATCCCGAATTCTCTTATGGGGTATGGGGTAAACACATTTCTGTGTCCGATGCACTGATTGGTTTTATTTATAGACAAGTAGTTAATCACACATCTGTACCCTATCCAAACGAAACAATCGATTGTTGCCCTGAGATTCGAACCATGGACCCCTCCTGTTTAACGCAATACTAGGCAACGTATTTAACCATAGATATAATTTCGTAGCTACGGAGACCTTACCACATACAACCCCAATCAGTACATTATTTATTATGAATCTAAATTACCAAGTACATAATACATACATCGAACGGACCATTATTTATTTAACCCGTCCCATCTTTGATCTTGATGGATGTCGTATGAACGTTTCGCGTATGGAACGTCAAAATTACAATAGACATCACAGCGCAGTCGACGCTTGACGAATTGTTAAATTAATTACACTCGGTTGATTGTTCGCGGAATTGATGATAAATCTTAACACACATGTAGTATATATATAGTTAGATCGTTGTTATTATATATTTCATGTATCTATACATATAATATTACATAGATATACCGTGCAACCAAAAAAGGAAGAGACAAATAGAATTTTGTTGGCTAAAACAGTACACTAAAATAACAAATCATATTAAATAACTCGTAGATGCTTGGAATTTTACTTATTTTATTTTTTATTCTGACCTCTCAACGATCTTGTGCCATATGAAGTTTTCCGACAAAATTTGATTACCATAACGATACTTTGTGAGTTAATCTTAAAATATAGACATGTGTTGGAGAACACAAAACGATTTTTTCCAATTCGAACTAGTAGTTCTCGAGATTAGCCCGTTTATACAAAGAAAGAAACTCTTAAATTTTATAATATTAGTAGAGATTGAAATTGGTTTTAACTCTATTTTAAAATAAGCTCGTTCCACTTTTAGCATTTCAAATTTCTAAATAAAATATACGTTTTTAACGACAAGCTTAGTGCAATAATATCTTGATTTATAAAATACACAAGGGAGTAGAATTTCCTAGACTAAGATCAGTGCTAACGTGAACCGTAAAGTGTGGGTGTGGCGCGATGTTAGCAGGGAAATTTTACTATTAATATTTTCCATTCATTTTCATATTTTCATATCCGATTGCTTAATATTAAACATCATTGAAT